ACTTGATGATCTTGAAGGTCTCTTCCAACCGAATGATTCTATGATCCTAAGTAGCCTTCTCAGACCCAGCTTGATTAATTATGTCAAGGTTCTTCTATTATTATGCAAGAGGCTCAAAATAAGTTCAGTAGTTCTCCTCTAGCATTCACAAGTTGATAAATGAGTTTGTTTTCACATTGCAGTTTAATTAACCACAGAAACTTCCAAGTTAACTCCAGTTTTTTTGTGAAGATGGTTCTGCCAAGTCAAACATCTAATCTGCTCTGGCTGAATTCCAACCAATCTTGTATATCAGCAAGGTTTGCCTGGTGAAAGCTACTGGTAAAGAAGTAATGCTTCGGTTTTGGAAATTCAATCTTATTTTTGTTTGAGTTATATAATTTGGTTAAAAAAAAACCAAACTTGAACTGTATTTAACTTTGAAAACTACTGTCCAGATTTCATTTCAAGTCCTGAACACTATGTCTCATGGACTGGTTGTTTAACGAGGCATGCATCTGAATGGTTAAATCAGTATTACTTTCATAGTCCAATGGTTCACGAGCTTATGTTTCCTTACAGATTGTACATGTGCTGAATTCTTGTCTAATGACCATGTAACAGGGCACGTTCAATTATTCTCTTTGGGTTTTAGAAAGAAACAGGAAGTTTTGCTATAAACAATGCAGTCATAGAATAAATTTCACCACAGCAAGTTCATCTGAAAAATATGCATTCCTTACAACACAGCCAGGAATGGCATTATGAGAACCAACATCCTGCTGTGCTCAGGTTTTTTGTTTCTTGGTGGTGTTTTGTTGTTTGCTTTTTTTATTTTTTTTTTTTTTAATTAATACTTAGGCAATATAAGAAAAAACCCTTTTAGTTAATACTGGATGTTCTGTGATGAGCATTACTTGAAAGATGTGGATAGTGAATCAAAAGCAGCTGCTAGAAACCACAGGATAAATAACAAGTTTGCTAAATTTAGTATATGTTATGAGATACATAGAGTGGAGGAAGAGTCAGCTATTGTAAATTTTTATCAACTGGGAAAGAATTACTATAAAATATTTCACTCTCTACTTATAAAATAAAGGAAAGATGACAGACATTAAATAATAAAATATTTAATAGGAAGATGTCAGTTTATCTACTCTAAAATCTAAGACTAAAATACATCTAATTTTTGGTATACATTTCTGCTTTTAACTTCTTTTAATAATCTACAAAAATATCCACCTAAACTGTAGAGTTAATGAAATAATAACAGCTATTATTGTCTGGCTTCCAATTGTGCCTAGAAAAAGCACAATATTATTATTACTATGCTGTATCATTTAATCATTCTACAAATAGGGTAACATTTCAGATCCAGTATTAAATAAACAGAGTACATTTGGATGACAAACAGCGTTTTCTTAAAATAATCCATAATGTTGCAGTTCTTCACTAAAAGAGTAAAAAAAAAACCTACTTAGCCATCTATTTAATCTTAACTAAATTTAATATACTCAATGCCAAGGTTTTACTTATTTTTTGATTTTCATGTGGGAAATAAAATATTTAAAAACATAACAATGACTGTCCACAATTACAGATTGGATTAGATTTTCCCTAGATTCTAGCTTCTAAAGATTCCAAGTATTATGTCATAGCAGAGATTCTGTGAAGTACTTTACATCAAATGGGAAACAAAATGTCTATTTTTGAAAGTCTGATGCTGCCCAGAAATAATTAAATACATGTTTAAAAACAAACACCGCCAAGTAGCTGACACCCAAAATCTGACCTACCTAAAAACTGAAGAATATTCTGTCAGTTTCAACATCTTGCCATTTACAGCCACACAAATCTTGCCAGTAAATGCACTTACAGAAATATGTATACACATAACAGCATACTTGCACACATTTGTCCTGTGCTGGCCTGACCCAGCTGGCCAGCAGAGGGAGCAGAAGTTACTAAACCTTTTTCCTGGAACAAAGATCAGAATCATTCATGCAATGTCAAACATGCAAGTAAATGAAGGGAACACCATCTTGGCTGTTCCATTAAAATAAAAATATGTGGTCAAGAAAAAAAAATTCTATGAAATGCTGTTGGTTGGTGGTGTGGTTTGTTTTTTTTCAAAGCAGATTAAAAAAAAAACCCACAAGCAAGTACATCAAGCTTACCTTTGTGCAAAAATACATGCATTTTTGTATGACAGAAAAATACATCCTTACCAGAAACGGCAAAACGTTTTCTAAAGTTTTCCTCTATAACATTAATCTATTGTTTCTAGACACCTTTTTCTGCATTTTTGTTACTTCTTGTAAAGTTTTTACCTGCAAGTTAATCTCTGCTTCATAGAACGTTAAGCAGGAACAGTAGTGCCTCTCTGAGTCAATATCAGTCAAAACCACCACAAAGAAAGTTGGCTGTTTTCTCTCTTTCGAAAGCTGCCATCCTCCAGGCTGACAAAACTAATGAAACAAAACAAAACAAGACACATAGTTAAGCAGTAGTAGCAATGGTTTCAAGAAATATGAAAGGTATTTTTAAACAATATAACAGAATATTATCTGAAACAAGAAGCTCATGTCATTTAAAGTGAATATATGTAGCGTAACAAAATTTGGAGAAAATGGGGAAAAAAGCAATCGATCTTGGAGTTGGCAAGACTGATACAAATCTAGCTCTATAGACATCAAGGGAGATATAATAAACTCTACAAACAGAAGATGTGTTCCTTTGAATTCAGTATTCAAGAGGAAACAACAGGAATAAATTGCACATTATGCAGGTTTCATCTACATAACAGGTTAGATTTTGAAGCTAAAATTTTTGTGCCTTGGCACGTGTCTACATTTTTACTTTCTCCATGTATTTCTCCACTAATTTAGCTAATCAAATACAGATAATTCCATACCTACTTGCAAAATTGTTCAATACTTACCCCCACAAGAGACTTATTTATAGAGCAGTATTTTTCACCCATTTATTTATTACCTCTACAAATTTTACTGTGTAACATTTGAAATTTGGTAAGAGTTCACACTATAGGAGGGATATAAGTTTTGCCACCCCTGTGAAAAATATGGTCAAGTTTCATGACAAGTCTCAGGGACAAAGAAAAATCACTTCCTTCTCGGACTCAAAGAGGCTGCAGTTCTCCAAATACTTCTTATGTACTTAGAATATAACATGTTTCCAAGCTCCTGCAGTAATGAGCAGACTAAATATGTGCAATAGTTAAAACACACATCAAATAAGCCTAACTTTTTTCGGTATTTGTTCCTTCAAGCTGACCAGGGCCATGGCAGTGCAAGTCACCAGAACTGAAGACAGCAGTTCTGACCTCAGAACAAACACACACAAGCAGCATAAACAAAAAGAGAACTACAAAAGCTCAAAAGCAAAGGGAAAAGTGTATGTTTTTTCTTCTTTTTTAAATGACTGAAGTACAACATTGTTCAATCACTTGTTCCAAGTAATGGAAGAGTGTGCTGAAATTCAGAAATCAGTTTGATGAAGATTCTTGAGACGGCCTTTATGGAATTTTGTATTCATTGTTTCTTTTACTTAAAGTTGAAGTCACATATACGAAAAATTCACAAGTACACTATTATTTGCAGTATTATAAACTTAGAATTTACACAGGGTGAGGTAATAGCCCCTGTATGTATTAGGAATAAAAAAAAACCAAACCAAAACAACAGAATATTTCTAGAATTGTTAAACAATGCAGATACTAAAGGAACCAGAGAGAGAGGTCAAAACCTCATGTTTCCAGCAATTGCTTCTTTTCCCTGGACAGCTGCTAAAAACTGAAAGAGTCTGAAAAGTTGTAAATAAACATTTACTACAGATTCAGCTTTAGAACCTCCACAATAAAACATGGGTAGTCTTAGGTGAACAGCAGTTAAAACTCTGCCTCTGATATACAGTTTATTTTATGATCCTGGGAAAATTTTCAAAACCAAAGTTTTCTCATGTTACATTCTTCATATTCTAGATAGTCAGCTTAACACTTCTGAGTCTGTACCCTTAGAAGTGCTAAGCACTCCCTCTTGCATCTGAGAATAACCACTCTGAACATCAAAAGTACTCTGAGAAAAGACATCCTAGTCATTCCACGCTAAGCATCCAGTATTAGTCCATGATTTTGATAATACTGGCCTAATCTCCCTTTGTTTTTTATCCGATGTCAGTTAAAAATAAGAAGATACCACTAATAATCTTGCAGGACTGCTATAAAGATAACGTAATATGGTCAATATATACAGATGCTATAACAAAAGCATCATTAAAAAGGTTGACAATAAAATCATTAGAGTTCTGTATGGATTGTAGACTTTAGGTGGTGTGTGGCATACGAAGCCTGGAATCAGTTGCTCAAGATGACAACCCCAAGTCTGAATAGCTATTTGTTCAACAAGTATGAACCAAAATGCAAAGAATGTAGTAAGATTCTGTTATTAAATAAAAACTGTCAATAAATAAAACCATTAAAACTGAATCATCCATACAAGGTAGGCCAAATTAAGGTTGCTTACACAGTCCTCCTTCTGGCACTTCTTAAGCTCCAAATGCTTGAGTTTACAATCTTAACCCTCTTTCAAATCTGCCAAGTCTACCAGTTCTGACAGAAGATCCTTACTGGTGCCATTGCCCTTTAGCTTTACGAGTAATTTCTCATCTCACACCTGTGAGTAGCAATCCATCAGATTTCTGAGTGTCTGGAATTCCTGCACAAAGAACCATTCTGCACGCACTAAACATCACCCTACTGAAGGCACAGAAGAGCTGGTATATCCAAATATACCACAATCAATGTATTCTGCAACCAAATGACAAATATATGAGCTTGGGATGTGACTTATGCATAGCTGGTTTTCCCATGATACACACAGAATTCTACCAACTTTGAGGTATTGGTAGGTTCATTTTGAATATACTTTTTGCATTTATTTTAAAACAAAATAATTTTTTAAGAATTCTTTTTATTGTCATAAGCCATTATTAGCAGGCCTACTACATAAAATTTATACCAACATCTGCCCTGAAAACTAAGAAACACAAAGGATTAGCAGGCCTACTACATAAAATTTATACCATCTGCCCTGAAAACTAAGAAACACAAAGAGAAAACAGCTAAATTTTGAACTATCAGAAGCGACTGTTGATCTCAGTAGGCTGCTCTCAACAGCAATCTCTCAATCTTTATGCGTGTCTAAACCCTACTCATGACAATGAATTCCTTCCAATTTCAAAATGATCTTGTGTATAAGCGTACGCTTTCCACATTTAATTACTTTACTAGAAAACAACAATTAGTGATTGTTAAGGAAAACAGCTGAAGTAGAGTACACCCACTGGCTACACAGAGAATCTGTCTTCAAATAAACTGGAAGGAATTTATAAATATAGACATTGAGGATGAAGAAAGACAACATGCTCCTCCAAGAACTTAAACAATGAGTGATTCTCGCTTTCCTTAAAATAAGGTAATAAATATTAGTGTAATATTTGAAATGCAAAAACATTGAGAAGAACTTTCCAAATTAGTATAAATACAAGCTACTATCCAGTATGATTACCAGCAGTCTGGCCACTAAGAACAGGAAAATGTTTCCTTACCAAACCAGATGCTATACCAAAACAGAGAAAAGCACCACTGTGAATGTAATTCAAATGACATGTGTTTCTTCAGTAAACAAGAAGAAAACCAGAAGTTTCAAAATGAACACGCTCCCATATTGTTTCACTTATTTCACTTACTTGCCAGAATTCTGAAAATGAGAAAGAATCAGATCATCCAACCCACTATTTATAGAAATAAACCTCTAATGGTGGCAAGTGCTTCAAATCAACTACACATTACAGCTGATTGCCTTCTAAAATCTGGTAGAACTATCCAGAAGTTGCACTGAAGAATACGTAACAGAAATATTTAAGGTGCTGAAATGACATTTCAAGCATCATTTGAAACTGCAAGTACCCAATGAAGCAAAGAACTTTCTGTTAATTATTCCCACAAATGCTTTCAGACTAAACAAGAAATCAGACATTTAAAAAAGACACACAGTGTTTTAAAACAGTGTAGCTGGGTTTGTTACCTCTAAAAATTTTGTACATTGCCACCACAATTTCTCTCTAAAGTCTAGATGTGATTAATGAATGTTTAGGTGACATTTGTTTCTTCTAATTTTTATAAACCAAAAATGTCATCTTTGCTTGAATCAAAATTTGTTCCTCCTTTCCTACCTAGAGCCACAGCTGTACTCCTACTCTTTGCCCTGCCTATTAAAATAAATCATTTGTATACATCAGCATATACCTTAGAGATACTGTATATAGCTTTGGTGTCTGGAATCACAGAATATCCAGAACTGGAAGGGACCAACAAGGATCGAGACCAATTCCTGACTCCATGCAGGGCAATCTAAAAGCTATACCATGTATCTAAGAGCATTGTCCAAACGCTTCTTGAACACCAATAGGCTTGGGGTCATGACTGCTTCCCTGGGGAACAGTTTAAAGTCTGAGGAAAAATTGAAGACAATGTAAAAATTGTCACAATTTCTATTGAAGCACTGGAAGAATTAGGATGTAAGAAGATGGCTTACTGGATACTGTGTGAAGACCTAAATACTATTATTATTATTATAATGAACAGTATTTATATATTGCTCACGTTTCATTAGAGAAAAATTTTAGTCATTTGTATCCTTATCATGGCAGAACTATATTATTTGCTCTCCACATCTGTTGATTATAAATTACTCATTTGCTGAATTGCACATTAGAACCTCGTCATTTACCTCTGGGCTTGCACCCTGAGCACAACCAAGTCCATAACAAAAACCTGAACAAATATTCTAGTTGGGTCTGTGTAGCTACAGACAGGAAGACTGCTCTCTTTGCACTTTACATTGTTTTCCGTATCAATGATCCGGTCAGCTTTCCATCAGAAATCCACTACCTCTGATGGCACTACCAAAGTAGCAAGGGGAAAAAACTTGTTCAGAAAGTTTATGACATGATACGTTCTTTGCAAGTCATCTGTTGAAAGCATTTTTTGGAGAACTTTTACAGAACAGAAAACAAGATCTGTGATACACCATTACAGAACACTGCATTTAAATAATTAATTATATTTAAAATATATTGTCCTACTGTATATTAAAATATATTGTCATGCTATATTTTAAAATACATTGTCATACTGTATATATCTGTGCACCTGTTTCTTCTTAAATAAAATCCAAAACTATCTGGATGCACATAAAATAGAAGATATTTGAACTCTATTGACAAAATTTGAATTAAAAGATCCTAAAATGACTTTAGAATTTAAAACATCTGACACACATATCTACCTTCCTTTCTAGTTTAACTCTTTCACCAAACATTTGATTCTTCCTTGGATCACTCTGGGCATAGAGTTTCATTTTATCAAGCCTGCTTCTGTAGG